GTCTTGAAAGCAGACGAGAAGCACCCAGACCCAGTTCATTTACTGACGCCAGCTTCAACACCACCTACTCTCAAAGTTGAATTTCATATAGAGAAGGAACATTATTAGTAGGCTAGTCATTTGTTACTTAGTAAATATTTAGAGCTATGTGTTCAAAGAATTGAAATTTACATCTTATAAGAGACCAAAGCAACAACTGCCTGTATTTAGTATTTATTATTTCTTGTCATGATAGACATATACTTTTGTAATTTCTTACAATAACAATATAGATTAATGTATAAGAGAAACAGAGGGCCTATTCCTAACTGTGATGAAAGTGTCAGACATCGGGCTTTTTGGATTATTATCAGCTGGGTATAGGTTCAGCTATAGAACACTCCAGGACCGAATACCCTAAATGTAGAGCTAAATGTCTCGCACTCTATACACGCTTAGTCTCAATTCGTATCATGCTACCAGTCGACATATGAAAGCATCGTCGTTAGATGATGTCCCTATTAGAATGTGGAAAGCAATCCGTCCAGGGTATGTCGTTTATTTCGAGAAAAATAATACGCTCCTGCTCCCACAATGCTGAATTCTATTGCTTCAATATTTGATAGTCTCCAAAGTCGCTGAAGCGAAGAAAAAGTCACTGAATACATGTCACTTGAATCGGAAAGCTATTGGAAATTAGCTCAAACCGAGTCCCGTTACAAAAATCTTCAATAGATTCAAGAAATCGCCGGTGTTGGCAGTACAATACTTCGAAAACTCTTTTACTGAGTAAAAGAAGCCCGGTCTGCCCGATTTGGGGTCGCACAACCCGGTCTAATCTCCACTGGTTGGTTACGACCCCATTCCGTACCGCAAACCCCAAAGAGAGCGATCGTATCCATCTAGCTAAGCTTACGAAATCAAAGGTGAAAATACTTTTTCGTTTTTATATTAGACAGTATACCTAAAAATGAAGAGCAGTAGAATTGAAGATCTAATAGCGTAGGACAATGCGATGACGAAGTCCTTGCTTCCGTGGTTGGCGTCTGACACTTTAATCGAACAGATGAAAGTTTGAACTATCGGCTAAGGGAATTCGGCAGGAGTGGGGGTATTTTTCCTTTAATCAACGTGTTACCTTGATTCTCTTGCTATGGATTAAGGATAGGCGTTTCTATTTAAATACGTCCTGACGGACAAAAACAACATGTACTATACAATACACTCAGGAAATCATCAAACATCGTTGAGGGTTGCTTGGATGACAATCTGTTCCTACGACATGTATATAGCGTGCTGACATTCTCGTGCGCTTTCCTTGGGTGGACCCTCGCACAACCGTTCCGTGGCATGTCTCTGCGTGATTTAAAAGTGTAGCTTTCTGCTCCAGCGGCTCCATCCTACAAATATTACACTTAACCCCGTTGGCTGGCAAGGGAGTGTTGACATGTTTTCGTAGAAAATGTTTTGTCAGTGAACCAGCTGTTGCGTATTCCTTGATCCGGTCTAGCACCCCGACATTGGGAATTCCCACACAGAGAAAGCAGATTCAGGGTCGCTGCCCTGGGGTTTTGGCCGGCACATATTCCATTGCTTGACGAAGAGCTATCTCGGTCTCGACTCCCACCACGTGTTGTTGCCGTTTGGCAGGAAGACAAAAATCGTCAGTATCAGGTACGGGTCTGCGGCAAGGTATAGCCCTGAAAGCTGAATCGATCCCCATATCGTTCAGTATCGCTGTAGGAGTGACCAGGTGCGCATGACAACGGCTTGATCCGCCATTGCGGAGGGGTTGAAAGTGAGGTCGCCGAGAAATGGATCCCGTCGGACGAGGAGGTTCGGAGCAGGATGAGGCCGATGCAGTCCGGCACCTGGGATACAGGACGCATGTGGTGCACTGGCAGCCATCACCTGCCGGCGCGAGTACGTCTCTAAACCAGCGAGGATGCTTGCAACGGTTCCCCCGCTGTAACCTGTCTAGGTATACTGAGTTGTGAAGAATAGTCTGTCTACAAGGTGGCTCAGGTACTACTGGGCCTACTGAGGGACAGTCCCCGATTCGACTGCAGGAGGGTTGTTGGTGTCCTGGAAGCCCCGCTGCGGTGTATGAGAAGTCAATAACTGGCTGGGAGTATGCCTCTTGCGTGGTACAGGCTATGGCTTGAACTCTAACTAACTCGACGGCAGAGCAGTGCCTTGAGACTCTGGAAAGACAGATAGAGAGGTAAACAGTTACATCCATTCTGTGCGAGAAGCTTCGCACGAGGACCTCCAGATTTCCGTCAAACCCCCTCTAATAGTGCCGTTGCCTTCGTTCATCTATTTCTGAAGTTAGAGTATATCTTTCTATCACGAGTAGGACAACAGGAGGATAGAGGCCGGTGACTTACAGTGACTGAGAATTGAATAGACCTCTATCGGTGAGGAACAGTTCTATTTTTCGGTGTCTAGGTACGAGCCAAGGTGACGTGGTTATGAATATAAGAGTGGGTCAGAATGCGTATACCTGCAGCTAGCGATATGTAGGATGTGAAAGCCTCTGAGAAAGATTAATCAATACGTTATTTTCTCATTGCTAACGTTGATGGAAAGATAACGGAATCTTAACAAAGCATAAGGAGAGGATGATGGCAGGGGTAGCAATAGAATGACTCTCATAGCTCATGACTTACTAAACTGAAGTGGATAAATAGAACATCTCTTATTCTCTTACTAGCGCGGAATTGGATGGGGTATTCCCTTTCGGCTGTAGTATATTAAAAGTGTGGCCTACAGACTGGACGTGGGATATTCCCAGTTTATGTAACAAATTGTCGACAGTAAGCATTATTTTACGACTAAGTAGATCTTCACGCATATTGCTACAGATGCTACCCAGTTCAACCAGGCATAGCAATCCTAGATTCCTCTCAACGTATGGAAATATGTAATGCGGGCTAGATACATGGCGGACTATAACTTGATAGCCGGATGACTTTAGACATGATCTCCAGTTTCTTTCAGTTCTCATCCATCCCCATGCCAGGTTCTTATTATAAAAGCCAAGACAAAATTACATTGCCCAGCCAAAGCGGACAAAGCCTGAGACAGACTGCCTCCCACTGGTAGGTGGCACCATAGGACCACTGATTGAGGCAGTCTTATTTTGGACATTCTTAAGATTAAGGCTCAAGTCGGCTGCGCCAACATATGACGGCGGGACATCAATAACAATGTTGTAAGTACCTTGGAGATCGGCCAAATCTTCGTACGTGAGGGTCACGCTTGGTGCATCAAAATTGTCCACTGATTGGGAGAATGAGCCGGTCACTTCAATCTGGTTGCCCTCCGCAAAGAATCTGCCTTGAAGATTTTGACCAAATCCGCGGAGGCTGCCTTGTGCGGTCATCTATTATATATTAGAATAAGTTTCCATTTTTAAAGGCAGGGCATGATAAAGTATTTATCAATCCTGCTGGTTAGACTCACTTTGAGAGAGAAAGATAGTATAAGGCACAACTTGGGACTTGGGGACTTCGGGACTTCGGAACTTGTTGGTTTTTGCTATTTGAATATTTTCTTTCCAAGCTGAATCCACAGAGAAAAGGGTCTGTTTATATAGAGATTATGTATTGTATCAAAGAGAGATGGAAAGAGGGGTACAGGCAGACTTGACCTGATTCGAAAGGCGATGACAAATTATCCTGCAGGATTAACATGTCTAGTAACGCCAGTCATGCAGATATTACATCACATCAGAGAAAGCGGCATTTTTGTACGCGCGATAGGAAACAAGCGGACCCAGAAATTTAGCGAGATTAACACACCTCTGCACGATCAAAATCTGTATAGTGCGTGAGGTAGCTGCCATTATGTATACCGGCATTAGAGTATTGGTTTCTGCTGTATTGGTGTTAAGTGGGCAATATTCAGTATTAGCTAGTCTAGTAGTCTCGGTCTAGAGCTAATGGAGTGACAACTGGCGGTAAATAGAGGTCCGATTCATCATGTCTAGCGTCCTACGTGCCTTCAATAATCAGGACTAGCGGGTGACTGGCTGCGGTCATACTCGGTATGGATGATCTACAGTTGACAACACATAGGCCAAAAGCTGAAGCAACCCCACTTCGCGCACAGACCGACCTGTCTGTGGAGATAGATGGCAACCGTAGATGCTTTCATTAGATATAGTGTATCGGCCTCTACCGTGGTCGCGGTATGTAGTACCACGTCACCGCTCTTCGGCCGCTTGGCTGCCATGACTCGTGGGGCTTACCCCAGAAGGTTTATGCGTGTCTCCAAGGCATCATTCACTCACTTGTGGAGCATGATAGAAATCCGATACATAATCCGATGGTCTAAATGAATATAGCCTGCAATTGGACGTTTCATGTCAAGGGACTCTTATAAAATGACAGGTCGTCTCCCTTGCCGACGCCTCATATGTCCGCCTCATCATAGATGACCAAGCCACGTGGCGCTGTAAGATCAATTCAACAAGGAGTTCAGTGCCGATGAGCAGCTTATAGTAACTTCCAAGGCAGTCGTCTCATTATATTTGTTATTCATGTAGTGATCATATCGACTATTATGTTATTATATGCAAAGACACATTCCACTTCTACTCAAATGAATAATTGAACATATCGTTACTGTCAAGCAGCACAAAAGATTCATACCGAAGTCCCTGTCGACCGGCAGCCGTTTAACGTCGTGGGTAACATTCGCCGAGACTTCAGCCCATCCCTCCCACAGAGATCTCCAATAGCATGCCTCAGCGGCCGGAGTTAGGTATCGCTCTCGGAAATATTTGACACTGTTATTGGCTATACGCTCTGCCTTGTCTGGGTTCTCCAAGAGTTCGTCCATTCGTTTCGGGAGATCAGAGAAGTCTCTCTCGACTTCCATGTAGTTCTGTTCCGGACCGGATGCCACGAGGAGATGGTGGTGATGTTGGATATACTGCAGCTTATGTGCCACGACAACTGACCGGCAGGCTTGTCGGTACTTAAGGGATGCAGAATATGCGCGACCTAAATAACGAGGATATCTGTTAGATCTTAACAGAAAGTTGAAGTGAAAAAAGCCATACTTTCGACATGCCCAATGAACATGTACCGGCAGTGATCCTCCATCGACAAGAAGCTGGACTTCTTGCTCCAGTACAGCTCGCAGAATAGGCCATTTGCGACAATCCTATCCATCTTCAGGTAGTTTCTAGGGAATGCGCTGGTCTCTATTACAATGCTCTCTGGTATTCTCGCTGTTAATCGCTGTCGGTAGCTTGGCCACGGTCATCTACGTTCGGTGAATAAGCCAGTAGATTCGGAACATGCTGGGTTGTAACCACCGTTACATATGCGGAGGGCGCTTGGTTTAATGTTCCCCCTGCTGTCGTGATCGTGACGGGGGCGGTCTTGGAACTTTTGTATGGTACTTTTAGGTATTGATGATTCTGGTGGTGGGAATGTACACTTTGATCGTTACAAGGGAAGTTCAAGGCTATTTCCCAAAGAATAATTCCCTTTTATCATCCAGCATGATCTGAGGGGTCCTATCGTATCACCTACCTGACACACCTCCAGTAAACGAAACGAAACATTACCAGATATGGATGGCAGCCAAAGCTCTTGGAAATCTATTTTCGGGGAAGGCCATCAACACTTATTCTTCACAGGCGCAGGCCATATAGAAAATAATAGAGATCTTTACGTTAGTTCTAGACGAGGAGCATCCACGCAGATATCCACTTGTCTGAGACTACGAAGCCCACCCAAGCCGTCGAACTGCATGGAGCACATTTTCATTGGACAAGTGCGTCTTGGAAGTGTTCACTATGCAGACCTGGACGTTATAGTGTGGTGCGGAGGGAAAGACATTTTCGTGGATGATCATTATCTGGGCATTTCTATGAGAATTATTCACTACCAGATGTGAATTAACCAAAATACGGAACTGCTATTGGAGGTTGGAATGCAGTAGCCGTACCTGGTGCAGTTTGTGTCTGGTAGCATTTCTCGGTGTGAATGGCTAGTGCGCAAGTGAGACGCCTTCGCTAGAAGTGAAGTAGGCTTCAAAAGAAAATCAATAATAGGTCGCGGATGAGCAGCTGTTATCTTTGTAAGAGACTAAAGGAGGCACTGATGTGGCTCTTACATATCGCGACATAGATAAGTGAAGCAATGATTCAACCAGTAATTCTCCCCGTCGGTGGATCTCTCCGTCAGCATAAGTACGAGATTACAGGCAGATGTGTTGCTGTGCCAGAAGACGGCTTCTTGAGGCGCACATGAAACGCAAACGGAACACACCTGGGATACTCTTTTCACGCAACTGACGTCCTTTGATACATATTGCAGCGAGTCCATCTATATGGTGGAATGGAAGATATATGCTGAACCCAAATACCACAATTCATATGGTAATCTGGTTAGTCATTCCGTATGCAGCAGGTCATCAGTAGTAAGAGGCGGTGGATAGAGAATTGTTCAATATTGGATATCTACAATTTCAAGAGTCATCCTACTATGTTCTTTTTAGCCTCTGTCAATATGTTAAGTCGCACTCATCGGGAGTCTACTATATCTTTCGACAGCTCATTATCCTGGCTCCATGTGGAACTATTTCTGTGAGGGATAAAAGATTATCCTATTTCTTATTTACTGATATTGCCCTCCCAGGTAGCTAAATACTTCTGATGAGAGGCCCATACCCAAGCTACCCTTCAGCATGTGTCCAATGATTTCAATGGATTTATTCCGGTGGCTTTGTTCTATGAACCTTTTTCTGATTGTTAAGAATACATTGACCTACTCTATTCATAGATCAGGGGTCGACTGACAGGCCTTTGTCCCACATCCTTCGAAAGTGTACTTGGATGGTGCGGCTGACGTCACTTCCTTGTCCACCATCTTGCCAGCAAGCTGCCGTTCGCTATCGATCGCCGGCTACTCATTTCTATAACCTTCTAGATTCTCCTGTATCAGCCCTGCCGCTGCCGTTGCTTGTCATTCTGCAATCCGCGCAGTACAGGTTGATAGCTCTGGGTTACACGGATATACTTATCATGAGATCACTTCGCACGTTTCCGTGCCCGATGATGGTGATATAACAGCTTCTTGCCGTCCTTAACCTTCTTCAGATGCTGCCGTTCACTAGAGACTTGCTAGAATGCCTGGTCCTCGTTTTCATATGAACGTTTTTTCTTGTCTTGAATCTTCTTCCGCTTTTGAATAAGCTCTTGTAGGCCACGTACATGGGGGATGACAAAAGATTCTTCGACCATGCAGAGCTTGAGGTGTTTATTTCAGCAGGTTGCAGCATTACGTTATGAAGTCATTCATCACATCTGCTCCGGATGACAGTTTAGTCGTTATGATATGAACAAAGAAAGCAAAGGGGGCGGGGACACTTACGGCTGTCGTTGAATGAAAGTCAGGGCCATCCTTGTCCAGGGAGTAGAGAATGATCCAGAATACAACTTCACAAACCTTCTATCTCCGTCTGCAATGTTTTGAGCTTAGTCTGAAGACTGACAATACGATCAGATGCATTCTGTAGAATCGATGCCTTCCTACCCGGTCTCCTGCCCTTCGCAGACTTAGCATCAGAACCTGCAGCTGCAGTTCCTTGTCTGGTGGCATCATCGAGTTGCTTGAATCTAGCATCTAGATCTGCTCGGTAGCGCTTTTCAACTTGATTGTGCCTTATTTTCCGCAGAATGTGGATTGTTGGATCATCTTTATTACCGGAGTGTGTAGATCGGCGCCTATGCTGTACGGAAGTGTCTTGTGATAATAGCTGCTTCGGAACTGGCTTCGATCTTATAGAAGGCGCGGATGAAGGTTCCGAATTAGCCATAGGAGTAAGAGACCGAAGTAAAAGCTTCGGCTTTAACTGCTGTGAGGTGTCCATCATGACGCAACCTTCGATAACGGGCTTTAATGGTTCTCCAAACTGCGCCTGTTTATGTGTTAGGCCCGTAGGTAGAGCATTCAGTGGACAGTCGATCGAATCTTACATTGAATGGTATGTAAGGATCATGCAAAACCTCCTTTGCCATATCAACGCTACCGTACTCGATAGGTGGAGAGTCCGTATTTTGCAACTCAGTAGTGAATGCTGCCCAGTTGCTTTCAGAAGGCGTAAGGCCAGATCCCGACCTGTTTCCACATGTAAGGAGTGGGAATTCCATTGACCATTCATCAGTTTGGTCAACCTGGATAATGCTTTCTGCAGGGTAGAATTCCATCCTAATAATGTGAGATGATATGATTTAAGGAATAGAACCAATATGGAAATAGATGTATAGTAAGCGGAAATTAAGGGATACTTTTTCCACACCTTTAATCATGGGATGCTGGAGGCAGAGGAGAGCCTCCAAGGTGAAACTATGCATGACGACAGTGGCGGGACCATGTGATCTCAAAAGCTAGAGTCACTAGGCATTGGAACAGTGGTTCTATCCGACGGTTCCTTTGGAACTCTATTCTAAGAAGTACCCGCTGACTATTCGACTTGAATACATATAACTAGTTAAAATTGCAGCTAAGTGCGAGTCCTGAACCCTCCGTAACCATGACGCTCGGCTCCTTTTCGTCATGCCTGGCTTATCTGGCTAAGTGGTGGTCAGCCTCGGAACAATGAAGCTTTTCCTCGGCCAGTGATTGACTTTTGACTACGGAGACGACTACAGTCTAATAAACTGTCCTACTGAAGGGACCTGTAAAGTGCCAGTGCTTTGCAAGCCAAATACTTGGC